GTTGCTCTTTACATTTTTTATTGCATTTTCTCTATGTAATTTTTCCAAATACATTTTTGCAAGCTAGGGGTTGTAAATGTTCCAGATTCATTTCTGTGAAGTTACTTGAGGTCTTTTCAATTTTTTTATAACTGAAAAAATAAAATCGCTAATTAATTATTTATTCATTAATTAGAAGATATTAATTGTTCTATGTTTGCATTTACTAGCACTAATATTTAATTTACCTATGTAAATATACACTAAGTGAGAATTAAGATAATCACTCATCAACTTTGTTTTACAACAAATATTACTACTTTTAGATGCTGATATTATGAGAAAATTCCCGGTGGAAGATAAAGCAGAGGACCTGGGTTAATGAAGTCTTAAAGGATAGAAGTTTCCAAGAGTGTGTCATTTCTATTATTGCACACTGGAAACACTGGCCATATTCTATTAAGTTGAGGTATAGCACAAGGACCTAGACAAATATCTGAACACAGGATTATTTATTGAAGGACATACTACTCATAAAAGCAGACTTCCGCTTTAGTGAGAACCAGCAACTAGAGGTTTAACATTTGTAAAAGTTAAAAAATCATATGAAAAGAAATGTTTTTCTCTCATCTCACAGTGCTGTGCTTGATAAAACATAGTACTTGTGAGTTAGTTCTGTTGACAGAACAAAGATGTCCAAAGCAGGAGACAAATGGAACCTTTTGAAAAAACAAATACAGGACAACTGGTTGCTCGAATTTCCAAAATCTCCTTAAGAAAAATACAACATCCTAGAAAGAGGAAATTCCTAACCTCTTCTCTTTCTCCCTCAGCACTCTATTAATTATCTCTAAAGATAATGGTGTCCTAATTTATCAGTCTACAAATCAGGCTGATAGCAGATTGTTAACTACCTCCAATGAAAGGAAACACATTTATCTCCAACTATCTTTGTGTAAAACCATTCTCACTTCTCTGCACAAATCAGCTTTTATCAAGAGCAGAAAAAAGAGAACATTTTCTGAACCAGACTAGCATCTGATTCAAGGAACATAAGGTTTCTGATTTCAAAATGAACAATTATCATGCCCTAAAAAGTTGACCCAACTTTGTTTTTATTTGCTCAAAGAAGCTCGTTGCTGTGGAAAAGCACACATGATTTATGGAGCACCACAAAACTTTAATCCATAGCTCATGAAAGGGTGCAAGAGCAGCTTGAAAATTATGCTGAGCTTAATTATACTTAATGTGAATTATTCAAAAGTGCAGACAGACAGAGACTAAAAATTTATTTCATACAAAGAAGCTTGACATTTTAATTGGTCCTTCACAATAGAGACAAAACAATTTCCTCTCAAGAAAATTTACATCTTCCCTATCAGAGCTGAAGCCTCAGCCAAACAGAACTTCATTAACAAGATTAATCGTCACGCGGGGTCTGCCTCGTCAGGTGTATGGCCCAGGTAAAAGGAGGAATACCAAGTAATGACTGGTACTGCCTGCAGGTAGGACTGGCCTGAGAAGGGCAAAAAATGACAGACTGAGTTACCATACCTTGGTCATTTGCCATTTTGTCAGGATGTTCCACTGTGGGAGAAAAGAAAAATGATTAGATTTTGACAGTTCACAGCAAAAAATAAATAAATAAAAATAAAAATAAATAAATAATAAGAGCTGACAAATTATTTTGTGAGCATGTTTTCACACTGAGGGAAATATAGTCCTGAAAAAAGACTTATAAACATCAAAAGTTATATGTGATCATTTATATTAAGTACTGAATAGTGTTAATGAAAATTTAAAAATAATGAAAAAATGTTTTTGCTGTCCATATACATTTCAAAGTACATTATTACTTCTCATATCAAAATGCACTCAGAATGATTATCATGTAAGTTTGATTAACACTAGACAGTAAAAAAGAATTCATGAAGTAAGAGAGC